TGAAGAGTGCTTTCCAGCTGGATTTATTCTTCCTGTCACAGTCACATACACCTGTCAAACTTATATTAGGTCTTTTCACATAACTCCGTATTTCTTGAACGCTTTGTTAATTTCTCTTCACTCTTTTCTCTAATCTTGTCTTCTCATTTTATTTCATTGCGTTGATCTTCAGTCTCTGATATACTTTCTTCTGCTTGGTCAATTTGGCTATTCAAACTTGTGTATGCTTCGCAAAGTTCTCATGTTGTTTTTCAGCTCCATCAATTCATTTGTAATCTTCTCTAAGCTGTTTATACTTGTTAGCATTTCATCTAACCTTTTTTCAAGGTTCTTAGTTTCTTTGAATTGGGTTATAACATGGTTATCCACCTTCTGAAGTCTGTTTCTGTGAATTCATCAGACTTATTCTCCATCCAGCTTTGTTCCCTTGCTGGTGAGGAGTTGTGATCCTTTGGAGGAGGAGAATCATTCTTGTTTTTGGTGTATTCCTCCCTTTTGTGCTGGTTTCTTCCCATCTGCATGAATTTATCTACCTGTGGTCTTTGTAGTTGGTGCTTTTTGGATGGGATCTCTGAGTGGACACCCTATTTATTGATATTGAAGCTATTTCTTTCTGTTTCATAGTTTTCCTTCTAACAGTCTGGCCCATCTGCTGAAGGACTCCTAGAGGTCAACTCTAGACCCTGCTTGCCTGAGGATCACCCATGGGGTCTGCAGAACAGTAAGGGTTGCTGCTGGTTGTTTCTTCTGTTAACCTCATCCCAGAAGGGTACCTGCCAGATGTCAGCCTGAGCTCTCCTTATGAGGTGTCTCTTTGGATATGTGGGGGCCTGGGAGCTTCTTGAGGAGAGTCTATCCCTTATAGGAGCTCGAGGGCTGTGCTGGGAGCTCTCTTGTTCTGTTCAGAGCTCCTGGACAGGTACGTTTAAGTCTGCTGCAGTGGAACTCATAACCACCTCTTTTCCCAGGTGCTCTGTCCTGGGAAGATGGGGCTTTATTTATAAGTTACTGATGTGATGCTGCCTTTTTGCAGAGATGCCCTGCCCAGCAAGGAGGTAGTCAGTCTAGTCTCAGTCTGCCAGTAGAGGCATTGCTGAGTTGCCACGGGCTCTGCTCAGCTGCTCTGTAAACTTCCTTGTGGTTTTGTTTACAGAAGTACAGTTAGAACTGCCTCGGTAATGATGGTCTGCCTCAGTAATGGCAGACTGCCTCAGTAATGGTGGACTGCCTCAGTAATGGGGGACTTCCTTGGTAATGGTGGACTGCCTCAGTAGTGTTGGACTGCCTTGGTAATGGCAGATGCCCTTCCTGCCACTGAGCTGGACAGGCCTGGGTCCCACTGCGTTTGCTGTGAAATTCTCAATCCAGAGCGTTTCAGATACTGGTCTTTGTAGGTGTGGGGCCCACTGAGCCAGATCACCTGGTTCCCTGTTTCAGCTCCCCCTCCTTTTTTTTTTTTTTTTTCAGTGGAATGGGCAGCTCTGTCTCTCAGGCGTTCCAGGCACCAGTTGAAATGGCCACCCAGATTTGTATGAGTTTTTATGTGGAAACCCACAGCACTGGCTGAAAGAGCCATGCTGGAAACTTGTGGTGCTTTTGGGCCCAGAAATCTCCTGGTCTGTTGGCAGTGAAAACTCATTTGGAAACGTGGTGATCACTCACACTCTGCATTGTTCTTGCTGGGAACTGCACTCTAGAGCTGTTGCTATTTGGCCATCTTGGAGAAATATTATTTTTTAATTTTAGAGATTAGATTCACACAAGTTTAGAAGAGAGAATAAAAGACACCAAAGACGCTTT